TAGGACAACACTTCCTTTGTAACTTCCCATCCATACTTATTTGTTAGGATTGATACCAGCAACCCTGTTTTTATTTTGACAACTGTCACAGTTGATTTACCCAGACTTCACACCGTTGCTTCCAGTGAATGGTTGGTCTGCTCAACCTCATCTATCATGGCCGGAACAGAAATACTTAATATATGGCTAAATTTTTTAAATTTTTTTTTTAGAATACATCTTCCACTCTAATTCTTTTGTTTATAGAAAACTATAGTAAAATAAAACAATAGTTTATATCCACATCATACCATAAATACTAACTTGTACTTTGGATTTCATATCTACTGAATGTAAAGTGTTGATAGCTTATTTTCCAATCACATTTCTCATAGTAGAAACATTCATTATGCACAGCAGACGATTCTTATAATCTTTGCACATCAGCCCACATCATTCTACAAGTATCATTGTTTATTAAAGTGTGCCATTAGATGCTTCCAACCCCAGTACTCTGCCCATGGGACATCTGGGCAAAACCACTGATCAGTAAGCTAAGAAGTGCTCTTTTGTTTTTCCCAAAGGTCTTAACTGCAGAGGAATTGAAAGCTGCTCAGACATCTGTCGCTTATGGTTGTATCAAATATGCTGACCTTTCCCATAACCGGCTGAATGACTACATCTTCTCCTTTGACAAAATGCTCGATGACAGAGGGAACACAGCTGCTTACTTGTTGTATGCCTTCACTAGAATCAGGTAATCTTATTGTGAAGCAAACAAAAGTATTCTTAGTTGCTCCAAAATGTATGTTTTGTATATACAAGTGTCTTTGGAAGTGTGTTCCCTTTTAGAATTGCAAGTTATATGGAACCCCTTAGCCTGTTCCCATTTACTCTGGCAGATTTAAATACCAAACAGGCATCACCTGCCCCCCTAAAAGAATATTTCCTTCCAGTATTGTAAAACACTTCAGACCAGCTTATTTTGAATAGTGATGTGCCCCAGAGTTAATGCATCGTCTATTTTATAAGAATCTCTTAATTTCTGATTTACATCAGTCGATGTCTTATCAGTAATTAATTACATGTGTTCTCGTGGAGAAGAATGTGTGTGCCTGACAAAATGGATCAGTAGTGCTTGTCTGGCATTCCAGGTCTATTGCACGGCTGGCCAATATTGATGAAGAGATGCTCCGCAAAGCTGCTC